TCTGCTGTTCTTGAGCAGAGTCAAAGGGCAGGATTTCGTGCATTGTTAAGAACTATTGAATTGGCCTCCCCTGGGCCAGCATTTGCAACAATAACTCAGGGAGAAGATGAACATTTTCTGCCATTTGTCCAGAAGCTTGCTGACGCCCTTGAGAAGCAGATTGAGGATGATGCCCTAAGGGAGACGTTATGCAAGCAGTTAGCCCAGTGCAACGCAAACAGTCAGTGCAAGAGGATCATAGCTACTCTTCCAGGCATCCCATCACTAGTAGACATGGTCAATGCATGTGCCTGGGTAGGGTCTGTAGGCCGCACAGTGCCTGCTCTCATGGCTCCCTTACAGCCAGGCCACATACCCTTAGGGGGTGGACAACAGAAGAGCAAAAATAAGGGCAAGGGAGGACAAGGAACATGCAATCCATCATGGCCGGGTGCCTCCTTCTTGTGTGCTAGATGCCTAAGGCCAGGTCATTTTGCTGAGCAATGCAAGGCTAAGTTTCATGCCAATGGCCGGCCTTTGGCAGACCCAGGAACGGGACAATGAGCACAGGGGAATTGTGCCCTGACACAAGTGATTCCTCAGGGCATGGTGCTGGCTCAGACCTGCCCAGCCAGCTCGGAGGCATCACCCAGGACTCCACCGGTGTGGATGCACATACCACCAACACAGTTTTCTTAGAATTCTGTAGTGAATGTAATTTTTCTTTGGATATGTTCAGACCTTTGGGACAAGGACTGGGTGCACTGCTTGTGAGAAGATCTAGTGTCACCCACTAAGGAATCTTTTTGCACCCAGGAGTCATTGACTCTGACTTTTCAGGCCAAATTTGTGCTACGGTTTTCATGCACACCCCCGTCACTATTCCAGCAGGAACTGAGATTGCTCAACTTGTGCCTTTTCAGTGATGTGTCCCCAGTGGATTCGTGGGAATGGTGGCTTCGAATCCACGGGACTGCCACAAGTCCTCTGCTCTGCAAATGTTTCTGCTCAGCCACCACAGATGACATGTACCCTGATTCTACTGGGTGCCTGGCCACCTCAGATCCATCTCCAAGGTTTTCTCAACACAGGGGTGGATGTGACAGTCGTCTCCCTCTTTGTATGGCCTCTTATGTGGCCTTTGGCTCCCATAGGTTTGGCCATTGAAGGGCTGGGGGATGTGGCACATACCCTGGTGAGCCAACACTCTGTGCTGATCAGTAATGTGAATGGGCAGACAGCCACAGTTCAGCCCTATGTCACTGCAACTCCAATCAGTCTTTGGGAGCAGGATGTACTAGCAGCCAGAAGTGGGATGGATTTTTAACTGGGGACACTGCATTGAAGGGCAGAAGATATGCTACACTGCTTTTACAGTGGCTGGTGGACAAACCCATTTGGGTTCATCAGTGGCACCAGACAAAAGAAAAATGGTTGCCCTTTGTGAACTGGGTCAGGAGCAACTGCAGCAAGGACACATTGAGCCTTCTACTAGTCACTGGAATACTCCTGTCTTTGTGATAAAGAAAAAATCTGGGAAATGGAGGCTGGTACAGGACCTCTGAAAAATTAATGCAGTGACGGAAAGCATGGGGGCAGTGCAGCCTGGTATGCCCATACCCACCATGCTCCCTGCTGGATGGGACATCTTGATCATCGATTTGAAGAAATTTTTTTTCACAATTCCTTTGCATCCTGATGACAAACCAAAGTTTGCCTTCACAGTGCCTTCAGTCAGCAATGCTGAACCTGTGCAGAGATATCAATGTGTTTTGCGGAGATAGCCAAAAACTCCACAACTCTGTGAAAGTTGTAAAGCCAGTATGTTCATTATTACAGCGCCAGATATATGTGAAGATTACTCTCCTTTAAAGGCATGCATACCTCTGGGAACTTCAGGTCTCTTTTTATCCCCCTCTCAAATACATATGCATACAGTTTCACAATAGGTTCACACATACTCATTTTTATGAATTTCACATGATATTTGCCACCAGTTCATCTTTATCAGAAAGGATTCCTAGGTCAGGCTGACCTGCTTTCACAGCAGTCTCTGTCTCTCTTTATCATCCTCTGTCTCCCCCCACTTATCTCTATCCTTCACTGAATCCCTGAGCCTAGGCCTTGCAGTCAGGCTACAGACTACAGGCTTCAAACTACAGACTGAACTCAAAGATGTACATTTCACCTAAATCAAAATGGATTTCTACTCTAGAGAATTTCCACTCTGTCTCAAATGGAAGGTTTTGCCACAGGTTTTGCTGTCACAATAGCCTGACTATCTGTCAGTGGTATGTGGCTCAGGCCTTGTCTGGAGTCCACAAGCAGTTTCCTCGCGCATTTGTTATCATTCCATGGACAGCATCCTGGTGGCAGCATCCCCCAGGATGAGTTGCTGAGGGTACAGCCTCAGCTGTTCACTGCTCTGCATTCTTGTGGGCTGCAGGTGGCCCCGGAGAAAGTTCAGCAGCACCCTCCTTTGAAATATCTGGGAGTCAAAATTCTTGACAGAACTATTCAGCATCAGGAGGTGCAATTCTCGGATTCTATTAAGATCTTGAATGATGCCCAGAAATTGATGGGTGTCATCAGCTGGTTGTGTCCTTACTTGGGACTAACTGACAAAGAACTGTCCTCTGGGGCATGTATGACACCTGGGTATGCAAGTGTTTCCACAGATACTGGAGTTTGATGGGTACCTGTGAGGCATGTCTACCCTGATTTGTGACACCAAAGACAGAATGTGGCCAACAGGCAACCTCAGAGTGATGATCAAGATGTCAACCATCAATCAGATGGCCCCTCCACGAGTGGGGAGTAAACATTCCATCCTTTCTTTGTTTCTGAAAAGGACTGTTGACAGGCTAAGACTGTCAGTTCTTTCAACAAATTAACGATAAGTTGTTACTATATTATTAGACTTAGTATTGATAATGTATTAGAATAAGTAACTGATTTTAGGATTAATAGTTTATTTCTTGTAAGAGGGAATCACAAGATCCAATCTCTCTGACCATTTTAAATCGGTGTCCAGTTGAGGTTCTGATTGATAACTAGCAACTGCTACAGGAACCTCTGCAGCTCTGTTTGTTCTCCTTTCTGCAAAGGACCCTGCAGAGGATTTAAACAAAAAGGGGGACCTGTGGATGTCACAGGCTGGTCAGAGAGCGAGAAAACTAGATGATAAGTTTTCCCAGAATTGGCTTGTGAGACTTTGGGGGGTAGAAGATAAATAATGATAGCTTATCATAACCTGCAGGTGGTGTTTTCTGGCTCTCTGTTTTCTTGTTTTTCTCAAATATTGTTTATTAGAAAAATGTCTCATAAATTATCCAATCAGGTGGAATGTACTGATTAATTGACCAGACAGGTCTATCTGTATTGGAACAATGTATTAAACAGGATCTGAAGTAAAGACACATTCTTCATGCAAACCAACCCTCTGGTGAGTCTGTGTCATTTCTTACTCAGTGATGACAATTTTATGCTTTTAACCTGGCACCAAGACTCAAACCCACTTTTGATATTCACTTATATAACTTCAGGCGTATATTTAATAGACGGTAGCAAATTAACCATCACTCGTAATTTTTTTCATTATACAATTTTGTCATTGATGCCAAAAGATTTTTGCTTTTTATATGTTTTTCATATATTTGTAGCTCTGTAGACTATTACTGTATAGTTATATAGTTTCTTCAGCTAATTCCAGTATTTTGTTAGATAAACACATTCCTGGAATCCTATTCTAACCTTGCTTCTTCAGTGAACAAAAGCCATTTTACTTTCCCATGTATTTATATATAAACAATGTGGAGCTAGAAGCAAATGGGAGGCTTCAGTAGGGGGCCAAACCAAGAGTGGGAATTACTTCAGTAACTGTACTTCTAACAGGGGATTCTTGTCAATTATGCCAATTTGCTAAACTTACAAATAATATCAATAAATTCTCAATAATTCTTTTACAGAGGGTTCAAAATTCCTGTGCCTACACATCTGATTGGCCAAGGTCTTAAAACCACCCAGCTCACTGGCCTCATTGCAGATTTAGCAGTCTGTATTGAGGCTTGAATGAGATTGGTTGGGATTCCTGTTTGATTTAAATCCAACCTATGATTGTCTTATTCTGGGGACTCATTTACTTCTACTCTGTAACAGCTAGGCTGGTCAAATTAAGGTCTGCTTTGGCCAATTTATCTGTACAGCCCACAGGCCAACTGTGGCTGTGACAGTTCCCCTTTTCTCTGTTTAAAAAGGGCAAAGTGTTCTTTGCCATCCTCTGCAGGGCCCTTTGCAGACAGTGTTATGGTGGGGTCATTCATCAGAGACATACAAACGACACAACTCTCAAAGGTTCTTGTGAAAAACAGCCTCAAGTTTATTCTCACAGCTCCTTTTACAGGAGCTGCAAACTTCCCAAGCTTACACATGTGATTCATTGAAGTCTTAGCACCATCCAGCTCTCTGGCTAATGACACATCTGCATTTAGGGCTGCATGACATTGGCTGAGGGTCCCTGTGTAGATTTGAATCCAGCCTTATCCTTGTTCACCCAGGGAGTTTTTTTCTTCTAGGATGGTTGGGTTTCAGATCAGCTGCAATGTGACAAACAGGATGACAAAGCCAGTATGATGTCACTGATGACAAGCCCAGGTCAAATAAGGCTTTCCACCCAAGTGGACAAGCCCAGCCCCCCTAGGCAGGGATGCATCCCATGTATCATCCAGGAGCTGTCAAATCTCCAGCAATCTTTCAGGATAGCATGCTGCAGGAATTACAAATTGAAACTGAACACTACAAACAAGAAAAAATTCAACTTTAGAACTGTCAGAAAAAACAACATAATAAACAGCTTGTCTTAGTTTGGGGTTTGTGACCCATGTCCTTAAATAGATAAAATCCTTAAGTCCCTCATATCCCAAGTATATCTACAAATTACAACTCAACACTACAAACAAGAAACTCTTCAACTCAAAACCATCTCAATTAAAAAACAAACATCCTTCTCCTGTTGGTGTTTCTCAAATGTTTGAATCTTGGGGTTCAAGTAGGGTGATGAGTAGATTGTCCTGCCATTGTTGACAAAATTCTGCATCTGACGAACTGTCAGCATGCTAGCTCACGTTGAATGAAATGGAGAAGCATGAAAACACCCCAAGACTTACATGGGGGGTATACACCCACCCCACACTCCATTTTTTGGGTTTTTTTCCTCCTACAAAAGCTTTATTCAGTTATGTACAGAACATGTTCTGCTACCATGGATCCTCTTCATGGTCTGACTGTTGCTCCTCTTCTTCCTGCCCTTTGTGTTTTTCCAATTTTGCCATGAGCTCTCTTGCGGGGTTGAAGACGCCGCTGGTTTGCTTCCCGCAGACGTAGCAGCGCTGGGATTTGCGGTAGTGCTGCAGGGCACAGCTCTCACAGAAGTAGTGCCCACACCTGGTGACCACGGGGTTCTTGAAGGAACCTCTGCAGATGAAGCATTTGAAGGGCACGTCCTCCTCGCCACTGCTCACCTCGTAGTTCTCATCGTTGCTGGTGCCGTAGCGGCGCTCGTCCAGCTCCCGTTCCAGCTGCCAGCCGTGCTTGTAGTCCGAGCGGTCGTGCAGGAACTTGCAGCTGTCCCCAAAGCCACAGAATCCGGTCTCTTTGTAGTCCTTGCAGATGTCAGGCTGGTAGTCCCAGCGCACCGTGGCCCGCAGGTGCTCCGGAGCACGGATGGGGCCTTTCCTGACCATTCCGGAGGAGGCATTTCCCATCGATGTGTCCTTGGGCTTCAGGTACTTCTGGTAATTGTTAATACCACGGTAAATTTTATCGTCTTCCTTTCCTCTCAGCTCCTCCTGGATTCTTTGGCTGCGCTCAAAGATGGCCTGGGCATCCTTGTCCTTCTCCGTGTCCAGTTCATACCCTGCTGTGGCCCCCATGTCTTCTGGGCCAGCAGGTTTTGCTGACCTGGTCGATTTGTAGGTGACCCTGATCTCCTTGGCAGGATCCTCATCCTCGCTGCTGCTCTGTGCATACTCCGGCCTCTCCCTCATGCAGCACCTGGTCCTCTGGATCATGGGGTTGGGGGTGTCCCTGGGCAGCTTCTTCCTCACCACGGTGCTGCCCTCCTCCCCACTGCTGTCCTGCTCACTGCTGGGACGTTTTCGCCGGCCGCCTCCCGTGGCTCGGACCCGCTTCTTGAACGTGAAGCTGCACACACTGCTCTCCTCTGCCATCAGGTGATGCTGGTTAGAAAATAAAGGCAGAAAGGGCTTGAACTGAGTCAGGATACAGCCTGACAGCCTGTGGGTCAGGGTGGTGGCAGCAGTCTAATTAAATGGTGGCTGCAGTCCTCCTGCAGGTGTGGTTCTGGTGGAGCAGGGATCCTGGAGAAGGGTCTGGTCTTCCTCTGAAGGTCCAGTGGTGCTTATGTGGCTCTTGTCCTCTGGAAGTCCAGTAGGTAATGCTGCCTGTGGTATTCCACAGCTCACATTATATCCAGTTTGGAATGCTGGGCTCCTCCCCCTGGGTGGAACACCTCACAATGGGATGATGAAATTTTATCAGCCATGCAGGGACACTTAATGCCCCATTAGCAGAAGATAACCCCCCCAGAGGGAGTTATCAGGGATGAGTCCTGGAAGAGATAAAGAACACTGCCCCACCTGCTTTTAACAGCTAATAACGAAGGTGATATAATACATACTTTTGATTACATCTTACATTGTAACCTGAGACAGTATAACAGTCTTCTTTGGTGAGGTTCAGCATTCTGGAATGTTAGACAATTTTACAAAACTATCTTTTCATACTTGTTGGACTCATAAGGTTTATGAGTTCAACTAAGGCTGCCTTGCTTTTCAGAGCCATACCCTTACAGGTCCAGGTACCACCACAACCCAACTAAATTTACATATCCCAGATTTTCACCCTTATCCCTCCCACCAACCAGATTTCAGGGAGATCCCCATGAACTATACCCAGGGAAAGAGGAAAAGGTCAGTGGGGAACAACTTTCAGTAAAATTTGCCAGCAGCAAACTTATACCAGTCTGTAAAAAGAAACTTATAAGACATGAAAACCACAGCAATCACTAATGAAACTGAAGTTACCTAGTACCCAACTACTACTAACAATGGTGATCAGCACCATGTAGGCAACAAGCTGGAGTAGCCAGCTATCCTTTTGAGAACTTTTCTGGAACTGCAGTCCAAATATTCCCCAAATACAGGTGTGTATTCCTTTCCAATTACAGGGTTAAGCTTTTCTAGCTTGATTTCTGCTAAGGCAGTGGTATCCCATATTGTCTGGAATAGGCCACCAATGCATGTTTAAAATGCCTATTCCTCTTACATCCAAATACAAGCAACACTTGCAAAAATCCCATATTGTTATTCCTACTCAAGTAACTTCATTTTTTGATGCTTGCGCTGGTTTGAAAGTAACCAGCATCTTGGGTGATTTAATGATCATAATTTATTCCCTGATCATCTGTTTTATGCCCAAAATGGTTGCTATACCTTTAAGGCTCTGGTGGGGGGTGGGAGGGTGAGCCCCTCTTCCTTGGGTTTTTTCAAAGCATCACTCCCCAGGCATCTGTGGTGCTGTGCAGACTGCATTCTTTTTTTCTTTTTTGCTTGGTTTCTGTTAGCTCAGGCAAGAATTTTTTTCCCTTTCCCTGGCCTTGGAGAGGCTGTGATCACTTGGTAGCTTTCCTCAAAGTGAATTGTACAGTTTGGTTTTGGTCTGAGATCAGAGAGAATGACCAGTGGGAGAAGAACTGGCCAGAGAAGGCTGCTCCATCTCAGCCCCTGACCTCAGAACATCTGAGCCAGCAGGAGAAAGGACACCAAATCCACCTGCTTCAGCTGCTGTGAAGAGGAGACCAACACCAGGGACTCACCAGGTTCCCATCTGATTTTGGTCAAGCTTCTGCATGAACCCCTTGTTTTTTAGGGTTTTTTTCCTTGAGACAGGAAAACACCCCTAAAAACCTTGTCCTACCATGTTGCTAGTTGTTGTGGGTTTTTTTCTTTCTATTGAATTTTGGGTGTTTTGTTCTGTTGCTGGGGGGGGACAGTTAAATATCTAGCATTTTTTCACCCCTTTTTCTGTTCCATGTGGGCAGTCCCTCCATTTGTCAACAGAGGGATTTGAGTCCCCAGGAGTGAATCAATGTGCAGATTGTAGATGGTGTGGGCATTGGTAACTGGAATGACCCCAGAGGCAGATGGGGACAGAGGGAACAGACCTACCCCTGCTCCAGGGATGAAGGGAACCAGGGACAGAATCCACAGCTGAATCCCTGGTTACAATAAAGCTGAGGAAGTGGAAAATTGACTTTTTAATAGACACTCTGCCCATTTACTTGGTATTAAATACAAACCAGGGGAAAATAAGCCAAGAAACTGCAAGTGTTGTTGGTGCAACAGGAGAAGTAGAAAAATGAACATTCTTTAACCCCATTAAATTCAAAAAACAGAGGATAATACACTGATTTTTATATATGCCTGAGTGTCTGGTTCCTCTTTTAGGAAGAAACCTGTTTAGTAAATTGGGAGGCTCAGATTGTATGTAAAGATGGAAAAATCAGTTATTGGTACCTGAGACTAAAGCCATCAAAGGAAGGACTTTTATGTTGCAGGGAACACTAGAATCAGACAATTCTGGAGGAATACCCAGAAGCAGGAGAAAATGCAGTAACATCCCTGGTTTGAACCAGTGGAGCTCCAGGCTATTCCCAACAAGCTCAGCCTATAATTGTTACCCTAAAAACTGGATCAAGACCAGTAAGGCAAAAATCACATCTTTTGAAATTAGGGAAATCAAGAGCCTAAAAGAAAATATCAGGGAAAATCACTGGTGGTTTAAAGTGATAGATATGAAGGATGCCTTCTTTTGCATACCTCTTGATAAGCAAAGTCAGGGCATTTTTGCCTTTGAATGGGAAAACCCCCAAACTGGTCAGAAGACTCAGTTTACCTGGACTGTGTTACTGCAAGGATATAAAACAGTGCAATGATTTTGGGGAACCAGCTGGCAAAAGAATTATAGGTCTGGAAAAAAGAGAACCCAGAAGGGTTGGTCCTGCAGCATGCTGATGATCTCTTACTAGCAACTGAACCTAATGAAACATGTATGGAATTGACTGTGAGTGCTTTAAATTTCCTAGGCCAAGAAGGTTACCAAGTGTCTCAGGAAAATACTTAAATCATGAGGCAGCAAGGTACCTGCCTAGGATTTGAATCAGTACCAGAACAGTGGAGGTTGGGAATGGACAGAGAAGAAGCCATGTGCCACGTACTCCAACCTGGGACTGCCCAGGATTTATCAGCATCCTCAGGTGTGGCTGCATGATGCAGATTGTGGGTCTCAAATTGCAGAATTTTGGTCAAACCATCATATGAGGTTTTAAAGGAGGCCTTGGAAGGACCTTTGATTAGAACTGTTGATGGTGAACATGCATTCTGTAACCCAAAGCTGGCCCTGATATCTGCACCTGCCTTAGCACTTCCAGACTTAACAAACCCTTGGAATTTTTTGTGCATGAAGAACAGCCCCTCACCCTTGGAGCTCTGGCTCAGAAGGTAGGAGACTTCAAGAGGCCCGTGGGGCACTTTTGGAAACAACTAGAAAAAGTCAGCCATGGGTGGCCCTGGTGCCTGTTAGCCATAGCTGAGACTTTTCTCATCCAAGAGGCCAGGAATTTGGGACAGAAGACATTAGTGCACAGTTTGAATGCTGCATGACGACAAAAGGGGGGCATTGGCTTTCCCTGAGTCAAATGCTGAAGCATCACACTGTTCTAATGGAGCAGAAAATGTGGAAATTAAAGGAACCACAGCAGTAAGCCCAGTCCAATTCCTGAACACAAGGAGAAGAGCCACTGACCCATGACTGCTTACAGAAAATTGAGAAGGTTTGTGCTGGTTGGCCAGACCTACAAAATGCACAAAACGGAGATCCAGCAGAGTTCTTCTCAGACAGAAGTAGCCTTGTGCAAGAAGGTGAAAAGCCAGCTATGCAGAAAATGCATCAACCTAAATAATAGAAGCTGCACTGCTGCCCATGGACAGCTCAGCACAAAGGGCAGAACCCACAGCACTGCAGAGAGCCTTGGGAGTGGCAGCAGGAACAAGAGCAAACATATGGACCAATTTGAAATATGCTTTTAGCACTGGCCATGCCTGAGGGGTATGTGGAGGGAAAGAGGCCTATTAACAGCACAAGGCTCTCCAATTAAATAAAAACAAGAACTACTGCTCCTTCTCGATGCTGTCCAACTGCCCAAAGTGGCCATGCTACACTGCAGGGCACGCCAGTGTGGGGATTCCCAAATTTGTGTGGGAAATAAATAGACTTGCAGGTAAAGCTGCTTGAGAGGTTGCACAACAAGGCATCCTAGCATTAAATACCTGAGAAAGCCATTTAGACCTGAGAAAGCCATTTCACTTCCAGAAGGTAGCCCTGGGTATAGTCAGGCAGATTTAAAATTAGCTGCTTACCTAAAAGCCCAGAATAAAGAGGATGTGTGACTGGTTACTCCCAATAACCAGGTCACAGTTCCATCACAGCTGATGTTACAAATTGTAAAGGACAAACACCAGCAGACCCACAAAGGAATCCATGCTGTGGTGATCAGTCTGCAGACTCAGATACTGAGTGCTCATATGACAGAAACTGTCCGATCTATTACAGAGAAATGCCCACTATGTCAAAATAATTGTTTGAATTCAAAAGGACCTCCTCCAGGGATCACTAAAAGAGGAAACAATCCAGAGGATTACAAACTGATTTTTCTGAGCTGCCACACCAACAAGGAGACAGGTATCTCCTAGTGTTGGTAGATAGCTTCTGGCCACCCAATAAAAGTTTCTCCTGCTGCACCAACAAGGCCAGGGAAGTCACCAAGGTGCTCCACAAAGAGGTCATACCCAGTTTGGAGTGCCTACAGGGATGTCACCTGATAGGGAACCCCACTTTGTATCTGAAGTGCTTCAGCAGCTTAGTAGGAGTTGGGTATAAACTGGGATGTACACCCTCCATGGAGACTGCAGTCCAGTGGAAGGGCTGAGCACATGAATCAAACCCTAAAAAAGACAAATTAGCAAAATATGTCAGGAAACTTTCTTGAAATGGCCACGGGTGTTATCGCTAGCCTTGTAACAAGTTAGAGTACAGCCCCAAACTAACCTGAAAGTGAGACTATATGAGTTGATATTTGGGGTCTGTATTCTGTTGCAACCTTCCCTGGGTCCAAGACAGAGACTAGAAGTCAGGAAATGGAACAATAATTAATTTCATTAGGGAAATCCTTGAACGAGCTAAAAAAGTTTATCATTCCCTCAGAACCTGTTGCCCTGGACACCCCAGTTCATTCATTCCAGCCTGGGGATCACATACACATCAGGACCTGGAAACTGGAGCCACTTCAGGAGCATGGAAAGGACCTTACCTGGTTCTGTGGACTACAAGAACAGCTGTGAAAGTGAAAGGAATTAACTCCTTGTATATATTATACCTGAATTAAGAGGGCTCCTGACTCAGAGTGGCCAGTGGAAAACACCAGACCCCTGCAGCTGAAAATCCTGAAACATCTGTAAATGAGCAGTGAAATGTACAGTGACATCTAAAACTTATGGGAATCACATTATCTTTAGGTGGGGGTGTTGAAGAAAATTGAATATTGACTTTAACCCAGGGGTTTGGTAAAGTGTGCAATCTGTCCAGCATTGGAGCCTGCCTCCTCTGCCCCATTCAGCAGGGGAACACATTCCTTGGGGAATTGTCCTTATAGATCTGTCAATGGTGATTCAATATAACAATCTGGCTAAGGTGATAGCAAAGGCAAATGTCACCCACTAGCTGGATGAGAAGCAGAGGTGCAGGTGACAAAGAGATTGTATTCTTAAAGATCTGATAGCTTGGAGGAAAATAAGGCAAAGGGGTAAGGAGTGTCCAACAGGGTCCCACAGTCTCATCCAACATTTTTTAGGATTTGCTGTAGCAGCTTCTGGAGGCCAAGCAGCCAGGCCGATAGATTTATGTTAAATTATGAAACATCCCAAAATGTCTCAGGCTTCCCAGAGTGTCAAGCTCTCTGAAGCAATCCTCACACCTGGACAAAGCCCTTAAAAGGACAATGGGAGCACTTAGGGGAGGCAGTATGGTGCCTAGATTGGGAAATCACACCTATTAATCACCCCAGTAAGGGTCAGTGGAGGTATGGAGAAAAACAGGACAATGAAAGTCAGTCCAGCACCACAGGCTGGATGGCCAAATTAGTTCTAAACTGCAGGAACCAGCCCTTAAATTGTGTCAGGTCCCTGGCAGTTCCCTCCCCAGGTTACACTGTTTGGGTACCCCAGAGGATATTGATCCACCTGACCACTGTTTGGCCCCACACCTGACAAGTTACCTTAAGATTATTGACCTTATACCCATCTTGGGAAAGAAGCCCCATAAAAGCCAAGTATTGGGGTAGGGTAAAGCAGGACCAATGAATGGACAGGACCTTCAGCTTCCACAATGTTTGAATGGGCCCTGCTGAGTTTTCTCTTACCAGGAGCCATTTTTCTATCTGAAAGATAGAACTTAGTTTCTTTACTTGCCAAGTTAGATTATCTAACAATCTGAAGCTACTGAAAGGGGATTTCAAATTATAAATAAGCAAACATTGAAGTGACATTACAAAACAGACTGGTCTTAGATTTATTGCTGACCAAAGAACAAGGGCTTTGTGGATATTTAAAACTGGACAGAGAACACTATTGTGTACACATCCCAAACATAAAAGATCTCCAAAAACAACTTAACAAAATGTGGCAAGTTGCTGAAGACAGCAATGCTATCCACAAGGACTCTGAAACTAATTGGTTCAATAAAATTCCCCAAGGAATAGGGGGATGGCTGGCTAAAATACTGGAAACCCTTGTAATTCTAGTTATAAATGTAGTAATTATTGGTCTTGCTATTGCTCATGTTTACAAAACACTCATTTGTGGTCTTGCAAGAGTGAGTAGGATTGTAGATAGAAATTGAATTGAAACTTACCAAATCATCTTGCCAAAGTAGAGAAGGTTCAAAGGGGGGAGTTGGTGCCATGAGGCTTCACTCAATTTCTCCTGTGCCTGTGAACTTTCAGCTGAGAAATAAAGCATGCAAAATCTGCTCTGCCAGAAAGGACAACTGGAAGAGAAGGGGAAGACATCTGGCTCAGGAATGCAGCAATAGCCAAAGCAAGGACTGAGTTTGGGAACCTGGGGAGGTTTTATGGTAATGGCCAAATGGTAACATGCATGTAACACATCCAAATTGTAACGTGCCAGCAACACAGCTGTAAGATCGTGTGTGCACACAAAGTTAGCAGTTATCACCCCTGTAACCTGAATAAATGATGTCCTTCTTAGCTCTAAACTGGTGTTAAGGAGTCTTACTCAACTAGTTTGCAGTGGGTCTGGTGACAGTTCAAGCTGAGGTTTCCCTCAGCAGAGTCTCAGCTGCCTCTCATTCCATTAGGCCATTTATTCACAGCACAGTAATGCAGAAACAGCTGAAGCTCTCTGAAGCAATCCTCACACCTGGCCAGAGCTATAAAAGGACAAAGGAGCACTCAGGGAGGCAGGATAGTGCCTGCATCAGGGGGTAGTAATGCCTGTCTCTGAGGAGGGACCCCAAACAAAGGTCTGTGGGCTTTTATCCTTTCACAAGCACCATGCAAGTCTTCCTCTTGACTCCTCTGCTCCTGCTGTGTCTCTGGTACCACACCTTTTCTTGCCTCTCTGGTTTCTGGGGTTGAAATAGCTCCTGAGGTATTAAAAGTCTTTTTTTTCCTCCCAGTCCAGTGACAGAAGAAGAAGTAGAGATTGCTTGGTTCTGCTTTTCAGGGTTGTTTATTTTCTCTTATCTCTTCCATTCTTTCTCTGTCCTGCTGAGGTTGGGTTGTGGCACAGTCCCTGCCCTTAGGGTGGTGTTGGCTTTTTGTACTAAAATCTGTGTGTACATTATTTACAGTAATTTCCAATACCTATCCCCTATGTTAGACAGGCTGTCTCTACTCTAAACCAATCCAAAAGTGCCACCATCACAGTAGAAGATGGAGGACAAGAAGGAGAGCGACTGGACATGCCCAGATTTCTCCATCTTGCCTCCTGAACCCCCATTCTAAATCCCCAAAATTCTACTTTTTCACCCTGGGATAAATTCACTGTCATTCTACTCAAGCCCTTGTGGCTTGTAACTCTTCACACAAAGTTGGGAATTGTTTCCATGGACTAAAATTAGAGGCACAGGTGTTTGTGACTCTGTGCCAAGGTCTCTGAGCCCCTGCCAGGGTCTGGAGTCCTCCAGGGCAGCCACAGCAATGTCCTGGGTTCTGGTGATGAAAATGGGGAGTTTGCCCTCAATTCAAGCCCATAAAATGGCATCATAAAGGTTCTCCCCTTCCCTTTAAACTAGAAAATAACAATCCCCCATCAGCTGATACCCCTAAATCAGGAAAAAGACAGATTTTCCTTCCCCTGACCCTCCTCATCCTCACTGACCACACCTGGGGCTGCCCTGGACACTGATTTTTGCAGGAATTTCACTCAATCCCACTCTAATTCTTAATAAACTGAGCACACCTTGCTGCTGTTCATATTACATGTGAAGCTGGCAAATATGGAAAAATGTGGGGATGAGGAAAAGCGGAATTGATAGGGCTTGATATGGAATTGATGCAGAGGTTTATGTGGCATTGATACGGGTTTACATGGGGGGTTGCTGGTACAGAGAGTGCTGGCATCGGATCTGGGGTATGGTGTGAGGGAAAACCCGGACTGGATTGTCTGGAGTAGGGAATGGGGGAAAACCTGGACTGGATTTCGCCAGAATATGGAATGGGGGAAAACCCGGACCGGACTTCACCGGAACACGGAATGGGTGGTGGGGGGAAACCTGGAAAGAATTACGGCTCGATCCCGGAGTGGGTGCCCAAGACGGGGCCTGATCCCCGTACACAGACAGCACCCACACGGTACAGAGATACCGAACGGGCGGGGAAAAGCCGCTGCGAGGCGGCTGCACACGGGACCGCCCGTGTCCGCGGAGCAGAGGAAGGTGTGGCGCTCCCGCGCTCCGTAGGCCGGGGGCGGTGCAGCGGGGCCGGGTCGGGCCATGCCGGGCGGGGCGATGGCGGGGCCGGGCGGCGCGGTGCGCGGCCGCTTCGCCGTGGTGGGCGGCGGCATCGCGGGGGTCACCTGCGCCGAGAAGGTAACGGGGCCGGGCTCTCCCTCCCCTTCCCCCGCTCCCCGCCAGCCGGGAATTGTCCCCGGGGATGCGGGGAGCTGCGTCAGCCCGGGGAGCCCCGGTGTGCCCGGCCCTTAGCGGCCCGGAGCTGCCGCCTGCCCGGTGAGAGCGGCTGGCGCTGACTTAGAGAGATGAACCCCGCGGGACACGGCTATGGAAACAGATCTGCGCTGTAGTTGCACAAATATTCGCATGTGTTCAGTAGTTCCGTACTCCGACCTCCCCGTTTCTTAAACATAATTTTAATAAATTTTTTTGTGTTTCCCTGGAGAAAACACGAGCCAAGCGCAGCCCCAGGGCAGCAGTATTGCAATATAAGGATGTTTATCTGTGTACAGATACCTCCCCAGAGGTTCAGAGCTGATAAGGTTATTTTGAAGCAGTTTATGAAGCCCTTTGTAAAGAGAGTGAGTTATTCATCACTGCAGAGAGCTGGCTCTCTGTGCCCTGGCCCAGAGCTCAGGGATTCGGGATCCCTGCAGGAATTACTCTAAGGGACTGTGCTGCAGCCCAGCTGGAGGCTGCTGGGATGTGCTCCTTTTAATTAACACTGCTCAGTTTTTATAGGCTCTGTTTTAGAGCTGTGTACCTCATCCACCTCTCTGTGAGCCCGAGCTCTAAAAATAAATTAATCTGTCACTTGGTCTCAAGGATTTGATGGTTTTAAAGTAATAGTAACTGGAGGTAATTTTGCACCTGTAGAAGGAAATTATGTGGGTATTAGATGGATGAGGAATATTTTATCTCTTAGGGCTGCAGAGCAGCACACATGTTTTGGAGGCAGTGTTCTCAGGGTCGCTCTGCTTGGCATCTTCCCCCCAACAGCACCACTTGTCTTGGTCTGTGTCACCTTGCTGAGCAAGGCACATTTAAAATGGGAGTTCTTCCCTTTGGCTTGGGGCTTTTTAAGTCTTGCATTGCTTAGTAGCACCCTGAAGATGATCAGTTTATAAATGGGGTACAAAATATGCAGGAGGAATCAGCATTTCCTCTGTGCAAATGAAACCTGTAAGCAATTAGTCACTGCTGAGCAGTAAAAAAATGTGTATCCACCAAGTGGGTGTGTCCAGAGATCCCATGATCACAGTCTGAGCATCAGATGGCCTTTGGAATATTGTGACAATAGTCCCTTACACTGTGGCTGCAGTTCTTGAAGATATATTTATGTGTGATTGAAATAAATGTTGTCTCCAAATCCTCTTCAGCCCTTATCCTTCTGTTATCCTCAAGTAGTGTTTTTTCAATGATTCTACTAAACCAAAGTAATGTATTAACATATGATTTTTTCACCAGTAGTTTTATTGTGTTTAAGTCTGATGATGACTCTTATTGTGGTTTCTGTTTCTTTACAAGCTGGCTGCAGAATTCCCATCAGAAGACATTTTTTTAGTGACAGCCTCCCCAGTTATCAAAGCTATAACTAATTTCAAGCAGGTAAGAGAGACTTCATTTTTCTTATAGTGAGACATGTTCCAAGTTTGTTTGTGCAGATAATTTAGAACCCAGTGGTAAAGATGCTCATGACTTAGAGCCTGTTTTCATATTTGTGTGATTGCAGTAGTGTCAGTAAGACTGACAGGCTATTTTACAATGATCAGTCATTGTGAATATATTCACACCATTCAGGCAAAGGTTAAACCAGGTACTTACAGGACTGAAGTGTGTTCAGAGTTACTGAAACTTTATTTTATTTAATTTATTTATTTTTTTAGTGAGTGACTTCTTAGAAGCACTAGAATGGTATCATAGTCTTGCTCATGTTTGAATTTGGGGCAGAAACAGCAAAAAAAGGGATAACCTTCTAGGGAATTGCTTTGGGCTTTGTCTACTCCAGCAGCTGCTTATTCAGTGACATCTTTCCTGCTGGTTTGAAAAAGAAAATCAAATGTATGCATGAATTCAGATTTATGCCTAGTAGGGAATGAGGCTAAGTCTGAGAGCTCTCTCTGAAACTAACGCCCAAGTACAGAATGCTTTCTGAAAGTGCTGAGTGTCCAGCAAAGACATCTGCACAGTGCAGAGATGTAAAGTCTGTAATTCACATCACTGGAAATTTACATAGCTGAAGAATAAGGGAATAGCTGAGCACTATTGGAAGGCAGCAGAATCTGAGATTTGGATATGAGCATCTTAATTTCTCTCTGAATTGGAAGCATGGTGTGGCTTCTGGTTCCTAGCTGTGTTCCAAACTTAAATACTCAATAAAGTAGCAGGCCTGGATGTTTCCATGCAGCCACTCTTTTGGAAAAAGGCACAAAATTGTCATCACTTATTTGAATGTTTTTCAAGTTTTGGCTTGCCTCTTTGGGGTTTTTATTTTGTTTCTGTTTGTTTTGTATTTGATGTTTTCCATTTCCCCCGAGGTCTCTGAAATATCAGCTAGTGGCTCTGGATGAGCTATTTTAGCAAAGTTACAAAAAGAAAACCCAGGATTTTAAACACTACATCACATAAATGAAAAAGCAGTGTTAACAACTTCTTTATGGAATAAAACATTGTACCAGTTAGAGCAACTGCCAGGGTTTTCTTTTCCATTTTTGCTTAATCTCTGTCTTTAGGATTAACATGTAGTACTTGGACTCTTCAACCAGGAGCAGGCATGAAAAGATTCTGTACGGAAAAAGAAACTTTTAGCAGTTACATGGTAACCCATTTTCAGACCATATGGGCTTTATGTTGTGACTTTTTTATTATAAATGAACACAACACCTTCTGTCAAAAGCTTTAGAAGAAGAGATGGGTAAATGATCCTCATTTTTAAATACTTCTCTTTCTCCTACAGGTCTCCAAAACACTTGAGGAATTTGATGTTGAAGAGCAACCAAGTTCCCTATTAGAAAAACGATATCCCAATATTAGAGTTATACAGTCTGGAGTGAAACAGCTGAAAAGTGATGAACATGTAAGCGAAGGTTTTCTTTTTTATTTGTTTTCTTTCAAATTATGTATATAAAAAGTAATTTAAGAACTAGCTGAATGTTTTGGGTGAAAAATTTTGTTCAAGAACATTTTGGTTATTGAATTGATTAAGTTACCAAAATTACAAGAAAATACTTCCTAATTCTGATTTCACTCACTGCTTAACACAGTTTTTTAAGTAGAAATAGATACAGAGGACAAAATAAATCTTGAAAGAACCATCATTTCCACCTTTTCTTCCTTCTGTTTAGCAGGAAATACATTGCAAATATGAACAATGGGCAGCATGTACACAGCCTTGTTAGCTCTGTGCCAACATGTTATTTTCATTCCAGCATGTATGAGAAACTCACATTCACATCCCAAACTGGTTTTGCTGACTTTTAAGGTTTGGAGGTGTAATTCCAGGTGGATTCTGCTAACAGTCTGAATGCGATGCTTTTCTTACATAATTTCTAGGATAGTGTTTTAATATTGGTCTTGGTGGATGTAAATAATTAATCTATGTGGACTTGAAAGCTCTTTTGCCCAAAATCACTTTAAACTATGCAGCTTCTAGTTTGTAGAACAACAAATAATGTTAAAATTTAAGGTCTTCTTTCTCAGAATGACATAGCTTGTTGAGTGCCTCCACTTTTTCTCCAGCAAAGAACAGGTTTGCAGTATTTCTGAACTGTGTCCTATCCTGTGCCTGTTTAACTCAGAGGTACTGCTGTTGAAATGTTTGAATGAGATGCTCGATTGCTGATGTCCAGCAGTGCATGGTTCTGTTCCTGGGGCCTGAGGGACATTTGTCACATAGAAAACACAGAACTCTTTTGGCACAGCCAGTGAGTACCAAGTGCCACCAAGTGGTTGATCTTGCTTCGAGTGCACTGTGTGCAATTCCCACTTTATTGGTCACTTATTTGTGGTGAGTGTGATGGCAGTAATGACACACAGTGAGGAAGAGTATGGAGCCTTGTTCCTTCAGAAGCCCCTTACAGCTTTTCATATCTGTAAATTACTGTGACATTAAGGGAAGATGTCTCTTAGATGTCTTCTTTTTGATTTTTCTTTTCTCTTCATTGATAACAGAAAATTTACACTGAAGATGGGAAAGAATACATCTATGAAAAGCTTTGTCTGTGTGCTGGAGCCAAACCAAAATTAATTGTTGAAGGGAACCCATATGTGTTAGGAATCCGGGACACTGACAGTGCACAGGTAAATGTGTTTGGGACTTCAAAATGTGCAATGTATTCCTGCATCTGGTGCAAAATACCAGAATTCTTGTGGAGTGAAATGGAGAAACAGAAAATGTTTGCTATTATATATTCTTAATTAGGAACATTTTCACTAGCAGGAAAACAGCCTTATAATGCCACTGAATTTATTAGCCACCGATTTGTTAAGTTTATAGATAGCTCATACACATTATTTCTAACATGATAATATGGAATAAACAATATTTTTTTCACCCTCCAGGAAGAATCCAATTGGAAAATATAAAGAAATTTCCTTGGGAAGATATGTGTGGTTCCTGGTACAAAGGGCTGCTTTATGCAGTTGAAAGCTACTGAAGGAAAAAGTTTATTCTCTTGCAGTTCTACTGTAGCTTCTCCTCTTTGTACAGAAAAGAGTTAGAAATGGTCAAAGATGTGGAAAAGTTTTCACCTGAGAAATGACTTAATAGACTAAAAATTAAGCTTGGAAGGCAAAGTTGATGTCTTCCTGCTACAGGTCTTCAGAAATAGAGGAGCATTGCTGCTCCATAAAATGGAACTGCCATTCATCAAATGAAGCTGGACCTTGAGGATAAAAAAAAGGAGTTACATTTTCAAAGAATCTGAAGTGAAACTGGAATTGCTGATTGCTACAACAGCAGCTTCTGTTACAGGTCTCAGCCTAGCTGGATGTGTATCAATAATCTGAGAAAATCAAGACTAAGAGCAAGAAAATACTGAGAAGGATATAGGTGATCAGTGGGAGGGAACATGCTCTAACTGACATTTTTCCTTTCTTAATGCAGGCTTTTCAGAAGAATTTGGCTCAAGCTGAGAGAATAGTGGTGGTAGGAAATGGTGGGATTGCCCTTGAATTAGTGTAAGTGAACCAAAAATACATAATCAATTAAAATCTTTAACAATGCAATGCTAAATCTAGTGTAAATGACTTTGGGAGAAGGTTGACTTTTAAAATTTTATCTCTTAGAGCATTTAGTAGCAAAACTGATCACAGAGGGGTTTTTTTGCAACATAGTGGTTTTTACTGATACATAAAATCAGAAAAGCTCCAGAAGAAGCTTTGACACAGATATCAAGAATATTCAGTTCATGTTCCACATACTGGAAGCAATATCCAAATGCTTGTTTTTAACAGTGGCAGTCTGGCAGAAATGCACTTGTTTTTCATTATGGGGAGCAGGAAATACTAATTATTAGTATTATAAATTGGATCTGCCCCCTACCCCAGTTCAGTCAGGGTTGTGTTGGTGAGGAAGTATGACTTGTCAGCTTGAAGAGATATTTTTAACGGGTTCCTTATGTAAATATTTAGAAGTGGATTTGATAGATTGGAAAATCTTGGATCCCCTGGTTCTGGCTTCTGGAAGGAAACTTGACACACTTCTGCTTGTGTTGCTAAAAGATCCTTTTCAGGCAGTCTGTCACTTTATCCCTTGTTGAAATGCCCACAGGTATGAAGTTCAAGGCTGTGAAGTAATCTGGGCTATCAAAGACAAAGCCATTGGGAACACTTTCTTTGATGCAGGAGCAGCTGAATTCCTCCTTCCCAAGCTCACTGCTGAAAGCCAAGAGAGTCCCATCGAGTGTAAAAGAACCAAGTACACAGTGGAAGGTATGGGGTTCAGCTTCCTGACACTGCAGCAGCAGCATTTCATATTGAAGATAGTCTTAAAATCAGTCAGTTTAGCAGCTTGGAGTAAGCCTTACTGTTATCATTCATGACATTTCCTTCTTCAAAAACTGATACTAAAAATGCAACATAAAAACCCATCCCACATTTATGTAGACAGAATGTAATACAGCTTCTTGTGAGCTGTAAAAAAGGGCTTACCATTGTGCCAAATTTACATAAATTCCCTGTATTCCTTCTGCTGAAGAACTTGTTCTATTTTCTGTAATGTTTTGATGTGAACTCACCATTCTATAGGGAGGAGCTGTCACATAATGAGATATTGGAGGGGCAGGTGAAACCACACAGAACATTATTACAGGTGGAGGGAAAGTGCAGTCTCAGAAACAACAATTGGCACTGCATGAAGAAACATCACACAAACATATGTAGGGCCAAAGTCAGGACAAAAAGAAGAGCATGGTTCTAGACATCAGGCAGGAAGAATAAGGATATTACCCCAGATGGTGTTTTTCTGTTAATTGAGAATGCTTGTTCTGAATTCTGAGGACAAGGAAAGTTGCACACTAAATCTGATATACTCCATGTCTTTGCTTCAGGAAGTGAGGAGAAAGGAAGGCCTCCAGGAGCATCTGACAAGCTGGGCAGTGCCTTGGGCCCTGACTGGCACGAGGGCTTACACCTTAAAGGCACTAAGGAGGTAGGGGCATAACCTTGCTGCCAGATTTATTTGGGTGTTGTGGGCATGAGCACAGGGAAGAGTTCCATGTTTGCAATAAAGCAAAAATCCTCACATTTCATTTTTTTTTAATTTATGAATTCCTGAGCTGTTATTTGTTTGCATCTTTTCTGCATTTGTAAAATGACCTCTTGATTTATAAAATCAAGAGTGATCAGTCAAAGACCAGCTAAAGGATGTTTAGGATATTTAGCAGCTTAATCAGTGGTGGTTTGGCTGTTGAAGGCTGTGGAACTATATTTGTGTAGTGGAGAATAAAAAAAGGCCCAAATTCACCAAACAATTTAGAGAAACAGGTAACTTCCCAACTTCTGGCTTGAGCTCAGAATATGGTTGAAATGTGGGTTGATGGTACAGAGTATTTTTTTCTTTTTACTGTGTTTAGAATATAAACTTATTATTGTTACCAAAATTTAATGAACGATAGAAAAATAAAGGATTTGCAATCCTGAAAGACAGAAAAATGAGTTTACTTTATTCCGTTCTGATAAGGTTTGAACTCTCTTCCTGCAAGCTTAGGGGAACCTGAATATGTTTTCAGGCATGCCAGAAAAATCTAATTGTTGTGAACTTTAAAGGAACATGAGCTACCTGCTGAAAAAGCAGCTAAATTGCCACTGGCTATGGTTAGAGCTGTGCCAAAAGGAGGAAAGTGTGGGAATCCAGGTAGTGGGCTGGGATATATGGTGGGTGGTTTTCCACTTCAGTAATATCAATTTAGGTGAAGATGTCCTTGCTATTATCAATCTTGTGATCACTAATCATTATGTTTATAATTCTGTTTCTTTTTTTTTTTTTAGTTTTCTCACAAAGTACATATTGAAATACTGTGTGAAGTAAAGAAAATTCTCTTACAGCAAGAATTTATCCAACTGCAGCAGACTTCCTTGACTTTTCCTAAAGGAGAGAAAAATGTAGAGGCAGATGAGGGTGAGTGCCAGTGCTGGTAAGACCGTGAAGGTAAATCTGTGCTGGAGCACGTTTGCTGTTTGAAAAATAAATCTTTTTTTCTCTATAATTTGAGGTCTAGCAGTTTACAGTAATCAAATTTATGGGCTGCAATTAAATTATAAAATCTTGTGGGTCAGATGCTTTTTTCCACAAAGTAACCAAAATCATGTGTGCAGAATATTCCATCCTAACACAATCCATTAAATATTTTAATAGTTAAGTTAAAACATGAGGAAAAAAACCACGAACATTTTGTATCAAACTGAAGTAAACCTTCCAAGTAGAGGAAAATATCCCTTTTTAAAAAATGAATAATTATGCCTATAATTTCCTCCTAATTAAAATGAATATTTTTAATACTGTTTTAGTAATCAGTTACTTTCAGCACAAGTCAAGTCCGTGCTGTTCTTTTTGCTTTTGAGGCATTTCTGTGCATCTGTAAATTTCTACATAAAAGAATATTTGGCAATTGCATACTTGAGAGAACATCCCACAGGACACAGAGGGCTTTAATTTAGGAAAATTCTGAAGGAAGTTATTGGTAGGAGTTGGAGCTGAGATCCAAAATAGTTTTTTTCTCTAGTTCTGAGCAATGGTAAGAAAAGTTACAGGTAATCTCTGATAGTTTTTCCTTTTTCTTTTCAATTTTAACCTTTCTTTACTTATTCAGTTACCTCAAAGGTTTTATGGTTTTATTTTCATTCATATCTTATCATAAGACATAATTAATAAAATAACTTCTGTTGGTTACATTCTCAGGGCAAAGTTTTCTCATTTTTCAGTGCTGTGGCCTGTATATGTGGAATTAACTAATGGAAAAATTTATGGATGCAATTTCATTGTCAGTGCAACTGGAGTTGTGCCAAATGTTGAACCATTTCTTGATGGCAATAATGTAAGTATACTGATTTCAAGTAAGGTTAAAGAAACCTTTTCAGCTGGTTTATGCTTCTGTTCTGACATGGATTGCCAAAGATTTAAATACTGTGTACCATCTCAAAATAAGGCAGGGTGTGTTGATACTGAGATATCCAACATGATACAAGTGTATTTGATTTGTGGACTTGGTTTATTATGTTGCTCCTCAGGTGTTTATATATAGTACATACGCAGTGTTAAGCCTAACCAAAGAGAAAAAATCATGTGTATAATTGGCTAATGTGGCAGAAATTTAGAATAATTTCCATGTTGGTTCTGTACCATAGTCTTACCTTATTAATCTTGACATTTGCTCCTGGAAAGGAAGCAACTATTTCCAGTACTTTCCATCTGGGACACTGAGCTGTCACAGTGCTCATGTTCATTGATGGAAGTCAGCACCCAAATGTGGATGGTAATTCTGGAGTTCATAACTGCCATGTGAATTTCCACACCTCAGGATCATTTTGCTTCTGTGTTCAGTGCCTGCTCAGCAACAACTAAAACATCCCTGAGTTATTAGCACTGATCACAAATCCAACAAATAGCCCCATACAAGCTACTACTAAAAAATGATCCCAAACAAAACCAGGATGTTGTGGTATTTGGGTTAAGTGGTGTCATCTTAATATGAGGTAAAAGGCTGTGCTCTGGTTAAAGAAGGAAATGCTGAAAACATAGATCTGATGTTGAGCCATGACGTATTTCCATGCCTATGCTATAAGCTTAGATCAGGAATTAAGTTTTTGCAATGATACTTTCTTGCCTTGACAAAAATACAAAGTGATGTCTTAAGACTGGGTGTCCCTATAACAAACACACAGTGTGATTTGGAATTTGGCAAGCTCTGTGACTTCCCTGCCTAGGTATCAGTAATAGTTCTTTAAAACCTGTGCTGTGCTCTAGAAATAATAATAACAGTAATGCTTTGTATTTTCCATGGAGCTCTTGCCACTCAGCACAGTCTCATGGTAAATAATAAAGGAACAGCTGATTGTTAAGGGGGAGGGAGTTGGGTGCCTGGTTCCATTGCTGATGTGTGAACCCCTTCAGTTTGCTGTGGGAGAGGATGGAGGACTGAAGGTGGACAAGCACATGCACACGTCACTGCCAGATGTGTTTGCAGCTGGGGATATCTGCACAGCAGCCTGGGAGCCCAGCCCTGTGTGGCACCAGGTATGTCCTGGCACAGGAGTTACACACCAGTGCTCACACCAAGGAGGGACAGGTTAACAGTGGATTGTCACTGACGGATTTTCTGAACAACTCCTTCGCTAGGATTTTTCTCCTGAGAAGCCTCAGAAAAAAAATATAAACAATAACTATCTGAGGGCTGTGGAATGTGGTCTGGAGATGCTTTACCAACAACAGGTGCATCTTTGATTAGTCGCATGTGAATTGTTTCTAATTAATGGCCAATGGCAGCCAGCTGTGTCAGACACCAAGTCTGTCACGAGATTTTATTATTCATTCCTTTCTAGCTTTCTGATGTCTCCTTTCTTCTATTCTGTAGTACAGTTTTAGTACGTCATTTTCTTTTAATACAATATATGTCATAAAATAGTAACTCAGCCTTCTGAAACATGGAGTCAAGATTCTCATGTCTTCCCTCATCCTGGGGACCTTCAAACACCACCACATTTGCTGACCCTGAGTGAGTGACACCCCACAGTGGGTAATCCTGGGGGTTTGGTGGCTGAGTTCTGTGGAGGTGGCTGGAAATGAGCTGGCCAGCCCCCCTGAGTGTGAACAGCAGTGAGTGTGCTTTGAGTACTCACTGCAGAGAGTGTGCTCATGGCACAGGGATGGCCTCATGACTTCAGTCTTCCCAATTTTCTCTTGCAGATGAGGCTGTGGACCCAGGCTCGGCAGATGGGATGGTATGCAGCAAAGTGCATGGCAGCAGAAGCTTTAGGGGAGTCTATTGATATGGATTTCAGCTTTGAACTATTTGCTCACATTACAAAATTTTTCAATTACAAGGTCAGTACAGTCTGATAGTTGTAAACCACTGAGTAACACATACTGCTTGCTTATATTCACTTGCTGACAGTGAGCAGATGCATTAATATTGAAGAAGCAGGTTTCTTTCTATAGTAATTAATCCTAGCTTAGGTTTTCTCATTTTGTGCTAATGTATACGGTATTTCATGGGGAAGATTTTTCAGTCCATTGTGTGTATTTGTGCTAATGTGTGTGATATTTCAAGGGGAAGATTTTTGAGTCCATTGTGTGTTTGCAAGCCAGTGATGGGGGAGGGACCCTAGGGATGCATATTTCCCTGTTTGCATCCCTTTTGAGGCCGAGAACTGTTAGCAGCAGACATGCTAAAAGCCGCTGCAGTGTTGTTATGAGAGCTTTTCCCTTCTCCTTCTCCTAGGTGGTGGTTTTGGGGAAGTACAACGCTCAGGGCCTGGGCTCAGAGCACGAGCTGATGCTGAGGTGTACCAAGGGCCACGAGTACATCAAAGTGGTGATGCAGAACGGCCGAATGATGGGAGCTGTGCTCATCGGTGAAACGGACTTGGAAGAAACCTTTGAAAACTTAATTTTAAATCAAATGGATCTTTCAGCCTATGGTGAAGATCTCCTAAATCCAGATATTGACATAGAAGATTATTTTGATTGAACAATACCCCATTCCCATTTTGTATGAAGCTTTGAGAGCAAGTCATACATCTTAGAAAACCGTTTTCTCAGGACTGGGGATAAATGCAATCCTCAATTAAGATTTTGGGTTGATCTTGCTAAAATACTGACTGGTTACTGCCACAGGTGCCAGCTAATGGTGCAATCTCTGTTGTGCTGGCTCATATGAACAGAGAACAGTTTCAGGGCACAGGCTGCTCAGAGCTCTTGCTAACTGGAATGCAGGTTGCAAATACATGGCCTTACTCCATTTTTTTTTTCCCTTTTTCTTTTCCCCCATAAGTTTACTTCTGAAATAAATGTATTTTCTACTCAGTTAAGTACAGAACAAAGGCTTTGCACAATGAAAGCCAGGATGAGATGTCAGCTGAGAGCAGCCTTTGAACTGTTTGTCCCTTCAGCTGTGCAGGTGTTGGGGTGGAGCTGCACTGTACTGGATAGTGCCAGCCCTGGACAGCAGTGGTTTCATCCTGGCTTTTGATTTTGTTCTACAGTTGCTGCCTGAGAGTTCCTATTTATTTTGGATCAAATTTGGGACAATTTATTGTACTCAATACAAAGCTGGCAGTACATATTGAGACTTGTCCCAGACAAATCACTTAATTTTTTTTAGGAGAATGACTGACTGTTTTTAACTAAATTTTCAATTTTTGGTGAAGGTCTCAGCTAAAGGATGGGTGAACGACTATAGGCTTTATTCACTGTCACAATTTTACAGAAAAATAAAGATGAAGAGCATGTTCTTAATGATATTATTTTTATATTTGTTCTAAGTGTAAGGGAGAAGAACTAAAATGCAACCACCAGAACTTGCATTTATTAATGAAACTGAACATGCCTTTCTGATCTTTGACTGCTAAGATGTTAAAAGTAAGAAAACAAAATTGAATCTAGCAGTCGGCATATGTGCCTGAGAAGGCTTGCAGTAGCTGTTGAATGTTTCCTAGGCTGGCAGGTTGTCTTGTTTGTAAACTTCAATTGAGGTACTTCTGCCAAGCACAGAAGTCATAAATTTCTATTTGAATAATAACCCAGAGAAGTCCAATTTGAAGAGCAACAGCCATATTTCAAAAGAATAAATACACATAATCACTCATAAATACATACAGTATTTCACTCCCACGTGCCACAGTGGGTGTAGGGACACATGTCCCTACTCAGAACTGCAGAGGTGGCAGTGCCCACGTGGGCTGGAACAGCCAGCCCTGGCACAGCAGCAGCTCTGAGCCAGCCAGGGCTCCAGAGGAAGGATGCTGGAGCATCTCTGTCTCCAGCTGTCTGATGTCACTCCCTGGGGCTGGTGACAGCAGTGCCCTGGCTGCAGTGGGGTCACTGGTGAAGAGGAGAGTCACCTGCACAGGAGGCAGAAGAACAGGAGCTGACAGGGTCTTCGTGCTGAGCTAAGACCGCCAAGTCCTGTGCTGCAAAGGAGAGAAACCTCATGAGGACTCTCAGGGGAGCAGTGGGTGGAGTCTCCCACAGGAAGGAAGCCTGGAAATCTCTGCACCTCTATCAGTCCTTTCCAGACTGCATGAACCTGCCACAGTGTTACTATATACTACACTTGCAAAAGAGTTAAAAAGGCCACATGGTCATTATTTTGATAAGAAACATGCTTTCCTCTTCTATTAGCCTTCTAGATTTGACACTTTTTAAAGATATTTGTTCCCTGTTCAGCGTTTATTAAATAAAAATAAAAATACCAATACTAAAGCACAAACTGAACTTACACACTGCACTGTCCATGGAGCAGCAACCGTGATTAGATCCTAAATGTAGCCTGTGACACTCAGTCAATAACTACTGGTTGGTCATGTGCACCTGCCTGAAGCCGAGGCTTCTTTGCTTTTAAGTTAGGACTAGCTGGGCCCTTTATGTTCCTGTGATTGATTCACCCCTGAATCTTGGACAGTCTTTGATCCACCCTGGGCATTTTCTCTGCTTCCTTTTGAAGACTGAGATGGTTTGATCTGTAAGATTATAGAGTTCAGTGAAAATTCTAACATTGCTTTCCTTTTCCATGTTCCCACACAAGAGGGAAGATATTTATGAGATTATGATATTTATGATGTACATGCATACACATATACACACATACACATATTTATGCATATATACATGTGCTCCATCACATTCCAAACACTTCTGGATGTTGAATCTTGAAATTCTGTGGTAGGAGACTGGCAAATGCCTACAATTAGAATATTATTGATATTCTCACATTTCACTGACCACAAAAGCTAATATCAATATTTTCAACGCCTTTAAAAATGAAATAATAATGTCAAAATATTGCCAGAAACTTATCAAAATGAAAAGGGTGTGTTAGGTTAAGCATAGAGACTAGACTGGGTTTTTTCTGCATTTTTGCTTCTGACATTGTTTGGAAAGTGTGTTGTTTGCACTAGTAACTGAAATGCAATTGGAGGATAGAATTACTACAAAACATGTTTTGAGCAGATACCAAATGATTAAATTAAGCTCTAATGGAGAAGATACCTATATGGCAAATCAGAACAGATGTAAATACCTTGGAAACACTTTTGCTGCTTGTTATCCCCTCTATGGTGATGATATGTCCCTCGTTTTTCAGCAGCCAGGCTTTGGGTCCCACCCTCAGGTAGGATATTGTAGCAAAGGCTGTGAAGCTGAAATCCTCCCTGCATCAGTGAAATCACTGATTTCACTGGGGAAGGTTGGAGATGGAGGCCAGAATATGCAGGGGGAAAAAAATCATAGAATCATGAAGGTTAGAAAAGACGTCCAAGACATCAAGTCCAACCATCAACCCAGCACTGCCACTAAGCTATGTCCTCAGGTGCCACATCTGCATGTTGTATGAACAGACCCTGGAATGGTGACTCCACCACTTCGCTTCTCAACAACTCTTTCCATAAGGACAGGGACGCATTAACCCTTCTGATGGGTGTTGCAGAGAGCAGCTTCATTTTGCTTCATCTATTCAAGTAGACAGGTGACTTAGAGCTGCTCTGATCAACACTTAATTCAGTTCATGGACCTTGACACACACAAAAACAGATGCACACTTGTCACTTGAAACACATGGGGGAAAATGAGGAAAAAAAGATGTAATAAGTCATCAGCTAACCCTCTTAGTAATATTAAAAAAGCTGTATGGAGAGATACAAAGAAAAATGAAGTCAAAATAAAGGGACTGGATATTTGTAGGTATTCTTGAACTTAACAATTATAGGAGAAGACAAAACACATAGCACATGGACAGCTTACAGAGGCAACACTGGTGTTAGTGCCACTATGCTTTCTTAAAATTTCTGAGTCCCACCTTCCACATTAGCCAGCGTTTCCTGACTTAGACATCGTGTGCACAACCTCATTTGCTTTCCTTATCCATGGAATGTGAATGAGAGCTGTATGAACTTCAGACTTCTCCAAAATGAATCCTGCTGCAGATTTAAACATTCTACCTGAATACAGAAGACCCCAGGTTTTTTAAATTGCACGGGATGCAGCATTTCAACTATTCCTCCAACTTTTGAAAAGGAAATATAGCAATACTTGAAGGGTTTTTAGGAATACATTAAATGTATCTGAAATGAAAGGAAGACTACAGAATGTAACCATTAATTTTTTACCAAAGTAACAAGAGAGCAAGGTAAAATGACTACTAAATATTAAAAAACCAAAACAAAGACAACAAAATAGTTATCTTACATACTTCAGATACTGCTGCAGCAGTAAATGAGATTAACAAGACCGAAAATCCCAAAACACTGCAAAATGTTTTTGGGGGTGGAGTTTGGCCATAACAGGTATTTAATGCTGCTAAACATTGGTCAATCCTTAAAATTCCTTGCTCCAGACTCCCCATCCTACTTGTATTTCTGGAATTCATACAGTGATTAAACATCATCTAGAGACAATCTGAGCAAATCACACATCCCAGGTGCTGTACAAAATAAAAAAAATAAAATTGTATATCAAGTCTGTATCATGTTATTCTGGTAAGCCACAGATTTGATAAAAAATCAAGTATTTAAAAAAAATGCATAGTGGAGGTCTAGATAGGCAGTTATTCTTTGTTACATGCAGTAGAGGCCTGGTCATGAATGCCCAGGTGGCTACTAATCTGTCGCACTATCTTGGAAATGAAATGTGATCCTCTATCTGAGAATAATGTGGCTGGAACTCCGAATTGTGGCATTATTTCTTGTAATAATACTCTGGTCACTTCTCGAGCTTTGACAGTTCAGGTGGGGAATGCTTCTGGCCAGCTTGAAAATGTATTTGTCAATACCAATAAATACAGATACCCCCCTTTTCTTGGGAGCTCTGAAAAGTCAATTTGCCACTGCTGTCTAGGCCCATGGTCTCTCCCAGTCTGACCGAGTTTCAGCCTCGGGGGTGTTTTTGGGGTTAGTCTGGAGGCAAGGATCACACTGTTGGTTTACCTGAGTAATAGTGGCATATAAATTCCTGGCAACGATTCTTTCAATTAGATATGTGTTCTAGAAAGCCTGTGGAAACTACTACTTAAAAGTCAACACTTCATTTTGATGCACTCTGTAACACTGGCAGCCTTGGTCATTCTGGCAAAGGAGCCACACTTTATAAAAGCTTTTAAGGAGTTAGACTCCAGTGTGTTTTCTAGTGCTCTTCCTTCACTAGTGACCACTAGTGACCAAAAATGGGAAGGGATTACCAACTCCCTCTCAATGGTAGCCCACCCCTTGTGGTTGCATGTCTCTTTTGATTAGTATTATTATATTCTGGCTCACTTCTGAGGGAAATCTGTCCATAATTACCTCACCTTTTGCTGCTTTCCTTGCCTCTCCATCCATCAGCTCATTTAATGCAAACATTTTCTGGCTGGCTTGGTGGATAGGGAGGCAGAAGAAGGCATCTTTCAGATTTAAAACAGTAAACTAGGTTAGCTCAGGTGTTAAACAAGTTAGTAAAGTATATGGATTTGCTGCCACAGGGTATAAATTCTTTGTTATCTTATTGACAGCCCTCAATCCAGTACTATCAATTATTGGGCTGATTTCTTTCCTATCTTCTTTTGAGGGGGTACTACTTAATTCTCACTGGTTGTGTTCGTTCCTTAAGCTTGATTACCATAGGGGGACATTTTTCACCCTCCCTGGTACAGCAGAGGCCCATACCCCCAAAAATACTTATTTACTTATTCTAACATCTCTTTACGAAT